ATTTGAAAGTATCGATTGGTCATGTGTTACAGAAGTAAAGGCTCACACAGACGACAAGTAACAATGTGTCATGTGTACCAGAGAGTGGAAGGCTCACACAGATGTCAAGTATCATGTGTCATGAGTAACCGCGTGGAGGCTGCAGGCCAGCGTGGTGACAGAAACACAAAGTGCCACCACAGGCCTGCAAGTCCACCATGGACCAACAACAGCAACACTTGTAGCAGTCTCCACCCAGTGCGGGCGAGGGCGCGCCCGCCCGCACGCTACTCCTCCAGTACCCCCGACCATGACGGTGAGCAAACGTGTCATACATCTCAAGCAATAACACTATAAAACAAGAAGTGACTACAAACACACAACACACTAACACAAGCACTGGATCATCACCACACGACACGAACACACACACACAGACACGAACGACAGCACACACACACGTACACACGGATCACGACACACACACACAGCACACCCCCTATAAACCATCCCACACCAATTAAATCTCCCCTACACACTACACCAAACCCGTCCCAACGTACACCCTATCCCTAGATTCCCCACACGTCCCCCGCCCATACCCCAGGCGACACATCAATCCCCAAATCCATCCCCAAAAAACGTAATATTCCCTCCACTCCCCAAATACCCCGCCCACGACACTGACACCCATCTCCCAAAACCAAAACCTAGGTCCACCTCCCCTTCCCAACACTCTCCCCTCAACCATTCCCGCCTAAAACCATCTGTTAGACGTACCCAGTCAACAACCCAATAAAACAATCACCACCCGATTAGCCAAAGCTCCCCGCGACGTTATAAGGCATAGGTGTCCGTCCGCGAGCGGTTGTAGTGTCGTGGGCCCGCCCGGCGCGCGCCACAAAGTGTGGGCGCATCAGGCCGCTCACACGTTTCACTGGGAGCCAGTGGTGGGCGGGCGGGACGCCCACAGCCTGAGGAAGATCCACCACCAGACCCACCAGCCCTAGCAGAGCCCTAAGCCCGCCACCACACACCAGGTCCCGTTATATAAAAATAAAGTAAATAAAACACACAATATTACTGACACTCTACACAAACACACACACACCACACACTCGACACACACAACACCACACACACACTACACATCACTCACACACACACACTTGCAGCACACACAAAACACGACACACACGACACACACCCCACACACACAAACACACGGACACAGCCCCACAGCACACACTTACCACCCCACACACCACACACACAACACACACACACACGAGCAACACACCCACACACATCGTACACACAGCACACAACCCGACACCCACATCCATCCAGTCCTTTCCCCCCTCCCTTCTCCTCCATAATTCCAGCCCTTCCAAATCCTAACCCCCCTCCCCTCCAAGATACACCGTGAGAATGCAAGTGATGTCCGGGGACACCCACCAGCCAGGATAGACCTGGAGCCAGTTACCCCGGGTTGCAGTCAGCCAGACGGCGTTCGCTAAGTGCCTAGAAGCCACAGTCGCAACTTTTTGGTAGTAAACTACCATATATAGTTCAGAAATCAAAAAGGGCCGTTAAATTCCCTTCGGTTTTGACTATAGGAGCAACAGGCAATATTCCCGAAATTTATGGGCAATCTACTGGTGTATATTTCAGTTTACACGTGTAAAAAAATACTGAAGCCACCGTAAACACCACCCACGATTGACTAGTAGCTGCATATACCGCTAATAAATCGTAAGGGTTCCAAAATCTAGTATTTATTTTTAACGAAGTAACCCCACTAACTATTGAATCGTCGCGGAATACGGAGCTTTAAAAATATTATTTAATGTAATATAAAATTATCGCAGTACCAAGCCTTGAACTAATCACACCCCGTGCTCCCCAAGCCAGCACGCACAATAATTACACCAACCCCACTTCCCAATTATCAGGCGCCAAAACCAAACCTTCAACCCACAACAACAACAAAAACAACAACCAAACAACACCCCCAGTCCCGCAACCGACCCCCCACGGCAGGGAGTCCCTCCCCATCCCACGCAACCCCCACCAACCCACCCACACAGACCAAGCCGCGTCCGGTATCAAACCCCCCCCCGAAAAAACCCAGCAACAAACCCCCCCCTCCTATCAGATATCAGGCACTGTGACTTCCCAAGCTCCAGGTACTCAATCCGGCCTGCCGGTTTCCCTGGTAAACCCATTCAAGCATGTAACGTAAGGCTCCAACACTCCAACACACTGACAAGAAACCCCACCCTGAATGACTCCCAACACGGACCACACACACCCGGCACTCCGCCAGGCCGAGGCATGCCGATGCCTACGCCCCAGGCACCACAAAACCATCCTAGAAATGTTTGAGTCACCCCCTCACCTCCACCCAATCCCAAGGCCGAACCCCAACCCCGCCATCCATCCCAAACGAACAGACTGATCCACTCTTGAAGTCATATATCATATTCGCCCATTCTCTCTACATGTGCCGAAACCACCTCAACAACCCTTCCTACAGCGCCTCTAGGACAACAGATTTTATGGTAATCCCCCGCACCTCCTCCTAACTACCGGAAACAACGAAATTCTCTGCAATATATTTCACAACAACACCGTTTCCGCTCAGAAAATGACATCTCCTATGCCTCCCGCCTTCCTCCTCGCTGCCAACATCAGTCACCCATGCTTCACACCCATACTCTCCTCGCGGAAGTTACAAAGCACCGACGTACCACCACCACAACCACCACCAGCCACCACTACCACCAACCACCATACTCGCCCGACCAAATACGTCCCTGAGACCCAGGCCAGCCACCCCCACCAGCACCAACTACACACCGCCAGCCTCTTGAAAAGCTCGCCAAACGTGCGAAGAAATTACCGAAAAGACCCCCGCAGCAACCCACCTCCACTACTACACCCCCCCCGGACCCCAAATAAACAGAAGGGATCACAATACCAACCGTAAACTGACAGTTCCCCCTACCTAAATATATATACAACACGTACCAGGGAACGAACCACTGGACTTCCGTGGTGTGAGGTGAGTGCGCAAGAAAATCGAGCAACGGTCCCAGACGTTTCCAGCCTAACCAGCCCTTAACACACTCCACCCCAAACACCCCTAAACCCTCCCCAGAGAAACCAACTTCCGCCAGAACGGCAGTCTGCCGTGGGGCAAACTGACCCCTACCTATCCGTGGCTGGACGAACCACGGACACATCTGCAACGTCCACAACATGCCTTAAAAATTCCACACTGCATTTGCTCCTGAAAGAAGCCAATGCATTTTGTGGGCACTGCGAATGGCCTTGAGGAACATTATTAACCTGTTCCCCCTTGTGGTTGCCTTTGCCCTGAAGTAGTACCAATCTTCTAAAATTCAACTACCTCAGCACATAAAGTTTCTGACAAAGTCCCAGTGCCCATTTGAGTGTAACTTCCTTTTCATTGGTTTAGGAAATATAAATGTAAACCGGTGCGAGTAGACAGTAACCAGTTAAAATCTTAAGCCAATGTAATGATGTGAGCGATATATTAAAGCTATATATGGGTTATAATATAAGGCCAGCAGGTGAGTAATTAGAAGCTCGCACCTGCAGGAGTGTGGTGACGGCCGTCCTACGGAACTGACCGTGCTGGTGTGAAGTTCCCAGCTAGCAGCGTGGCTGTGGTCAACCCTTCACACACAGGTACGTAACACACAAACACACAGCACACAAGCACACACAGCACACACACACACAAACACACACACACCCCACCCACACAATGACGTGGATTTCCAGAGAAGGACACAGACGACAAGAGGTCACAATTGGAAGTTGAAGACTCAGATGAATCAAAGGAGATGTTAGGAAGTATTTCTTCAGTCCATATAGTAGTCAGGCCATGGCATCGCCAAGAAAGAGCAGAGGTGTCGGCAGGAACCCAACATAGTTTGAAAAGGCCAAGGTATGTAGAGCTCAAGGGGCAGGGAAGAGAGGACCTAGATAGCAATCAGTGAAGAGCGGGGCCAGGGAGCTGGCACTCGACCCCTGCAACCACGAATAGTTTAGAACAATTAGTTGAGTACAATGGATGTGATCAGAGATGGGACACAGTAAGGGGCACAATGGTGGAAGTTGAAAGACTCAGCTGATTCACAGAGATTATTAGAAAGAATTTCTTCATCAAATAGTATGTCAGGATTGGAATGGTCTAGAAAATGATGAGTGGTAGGCAGGACCTAATAATAGCTTAAAGAAGAGATAATGATGAAGCAAATGGACAAAGGAGATAGTGGCCTAGTGGCGACCAGTGAAGAGTCGGGGGCCAGGAGCTGTGATATCGAACCCTTGCAACCATAATTAGGTAAGTAAAATAGGGTGATTCCCCAAACAGGTACAACAAGTGAAACACAGGTGTGATGGCTTACAAGATAGGCACAGATATCCCGACTCACTGACGATAGATAAGATCAGAGAAGATGAAGAACAGCGAGTGAGGCGAGAAGGAAGAGCTGGAGCTTAACATCCCTTGGTGCTCGTATACAAAAAACATTGCAATACTATGCTATAATAATAATAATAATAATAATAATAATAATATAATAATAATAATAATAATAATAATATATTTTATATATTATTGGTATTATTATAATTATTATTATTATTATTGGGAAATGCTCAAACCGTAGTTATACAGCGTCTGGAACACACCAGACGGGATCCCAGAAAATGGAGAGTAGCTCTGTTTCCTTAGATCAAGAGCATTTTGCCGGAATCATGACATCATGAAAGGAAAACGTTCTCATAGTCGATTAAATATTGAGAGTCAGGGGCCAGGAGCTGAGAGTCAACCCTAGAAGGCGATTATAGCCAGTACAAATTGTTAGGATAAGCTAAATGCCCTCAGCAGTGCCTGTGGGCGTGTGGGCGTGCGAGTAGTGGGTGGGGATAACTATTTAAGTGACTACAGCCACCCCTCCCCGCCCTCAACAGTGCCCGCGGGCGTCTGGGCGGTGGGCGGGAACGTGACGGCGGCGTGGAAGGAGGACGTGAGTCTGGCATGTGGAGCAGTGGGCGTGCCAGAGCCCACCCTCACCTGGACCCACCAGAGAACCCCCATCCCTGACCCCCATGACAGGTGAGTCCCCGACCCCCATGGCAGATGAGTCCCCGACCCCCATGACAGGCGAGTCCCCGACCCTCATGACAGGTGAGTCCCCGACCCCCATGACAGGTTAGTCCCCGACCCCCATGACAGGCGAGTCCCCGACCCTCATGACAGGTGAGTCCCCGACCCCCATGACAGGTTAGTCCCCGACCCCCATGACAGGCGAGTCCCCGACCCCCATGACAGGTGAGTCAGGCACTACTTTCTTAACGTACTGGAGGACAGAAATATAGAGTTTAACACCAATAACATTTAAGAACACTAAGTGTTTTTTGTAACTAAATAACATAACTAAATAACAGTGTAGAAAACATTCAACATTTTCTGCAGTTACCTGAGGATAACTTGAAGAGGTTGTGATACTTGAATGTTGTAATGTTTATGTATGTAGTTTAAATAATAATGTTGTGTCTACCACACGGACTGGCACGAAGTGCTTTACGACTCACGAATTCGTAATTCCACGATCGTAAGCAAGTCACGGAACAGATGAGACTGGAATCCATGGCAAACCCAGTAGTTATCACACAGGTCTGTGACTTTTGGGACTCGCCTGCCGTGGGTTCGAATCCCGTCAGTTGTGTGTTTGGTGATGCCTTACTATCAGCATGCTGAGCAACAGGATAAGTCGCGCTGCTTAACAAAATCACTCGGAGGGGGGGGGGGGGAGTATCGAGGGAAAAAACTGTGTTAAGAGAGTTACCTAAGTTTTCTGATTAGTTTCAAACCTGCACCAGAGTGTTATCAATCGAATATTCTCTTTTTAATCAGATTTCACATTGTTAATGTTTTCTTTTTTGAACAAGAGGAGGAGGAGAAAGTCTCCTCCACGCCTGCGTTGCCCAGTACATCTCTTGATATTAAAAGATGCTCGTTGTTAATTGTATTAAATACATTTGTTTACTTATCTGAACTAAGTCTGCTGTATTAAATTTCCCAAAAATTTAGGCAACAGATTCTGGTCATAGCGGAATTTCATTTGTTACACAATTTCATTTAGGCAAACGGGTAACACTGAGAACATTTCGTGTTTTGTACAGGTTCCATTGTAAACATGTGTTATATACAGTTCTCATTGTGAATATTTCGTGTTTTGTACAGGTTCCATTGTAGACATGTGGTATTTACGAGTCTTATTGTGAATATTTCGTGGGTCACAGGTTCCATTGTAAAAATTTGTTATTTGGGAGTCTCATTATGAATATTTCGTGTTATGTACAGGTTCCATTGTAAACATTTGTTATTTACAGGTCTCATTGTGAATATTTCGTGTTGTGTTCAGGTTCCATTATCAACATGTGGTATTTACAGGTCTCATTGTGAATATTTCGTGTTGTGTTCAGGTTCCATTATCAACATGTGGTATTTACAGGTCTCATTGTGAATATTTCGTGTTGTGTTCAGGTCCATTATCAACATGTGGTATTTACAGGTCTCATTGTGAATATTTCGTGTTGTGTTCAGGTTCCATTATCAACATGTGGTATTTACAGGTCTCATTGTGAATATTTCGTGTTGTGTTCAGGTTCCATTATCAACATGTGGTATTTACAGGTCTCATTGTGAATATTTCGTGTTATGTATAGGTTCCGGGTGCAGCCTGACGGGACGCTGACGTTGGCTGACGTACAGAGGAGTGACAGCGGCCGCTACACCTGCACTGCTGTCAACCATCACGGCAGTGATACCGTCACTTACAATCTCACTGTTCTAGGTCAGTAATCCCGTAACCTAGGTCGTCACCAAGATAGGTCACTTTGCCACAGTAGGTCAGTGCCCTTAGCCACAGCATATCAGTACCCTGGAGCACATTAGGTCAGCGCCCTGGGTCACAGCAGGTAAGGTTATGGGTCACAATAGGTCAGTGCTCTGAGTCACAGTAGGTCGATGCCAGGAGTCACAGAAGGGAAGTGCCCTGGGCCACAGTAAGTCAGTGCCTTGGGCCACAGTAGGTCAGTGCCCTTAGCCACAGCATATCAGTACCCTGAACCGTATTAGTTCAGCGTCCAGGGTCACAGTAGGTCAGTGCCCTAGGTGACAGTAGGTCAGTGCCCTGGGTGACAGTAGGTCATCGATCTGCATCACAGTAGGTCAGTCTCTTGGGCTACATTAGTTCAGTGCCCTGGGTTACAAAAGGTCAGTGCCCTAGGTCACAGTAGGTCAGTGCCTTTGGCCACAGCAGGTCAGTACCTTGGACCACAGTAGGTCAGCGCCCTGTGTCACAGTAGGTCGATGCTCTGGGTCACAGGAGGTCGAGGCCCTGTGCCACGGTAGGTAAGTTCCCTGGGTCACAGCAGGTCAGTACCCTAAGTCACAGTAGGTCGGTGCCCGGGGTTACACTAGGTCAGTTCCCTGGGTCATACTAGGTCAGTTCCCTGCGTCACAATAGGTCAGTGCCCTGGGTCACAGTAGGTCATACTCTGGGTCACAGTTTGTCAGTGCCTGGTACACAGTAGTTCGGTGCCCGGGGTCATAGGTCACTTCCTTGGATAGCAGTAGGTCAGTGCCCTAGGTCACGGTAGGACGGTGCCCGTGGTCACAGTAGGTCAGTTCTCTGAGTCACAGTAGGTCACTACTGCAGTAGGACAGTAAATATGAACTTATGTCTCCGACAGTGCCACCTTCAGCACCATTACTTCACGTCACAGAGACAACCTCGTCCTCCATCAGAGTCCAGTGGAGTGTTGAGGACAACGGTGGAGCAGCACTCCAAGGAGCCACCCTCCACTATAGGTAAGTCCACCCTCCCTCCCCCTTCCTCTCTCTCTCTCTCTCTCTCTCTCTCTCTCTCTCTCTCTCTCTCTCTCTCTCTCTCTCTCTCTCTCTCTCTCTCTCTCTTTCTTTCTCACTCTCTCCTCCTACTTCCCTCTAGAGAACAGCGTAAAGTACATTCTCCCACATGAATACTTCTGTATGTACTCACCTAGTTGTACTCACCTAGTTGAGGTTGCAGGGGCCGAGTCCAAGCTCCTGGCCCGCTATTCACTGGTCGCTACTAGGTCACTCTCCCTGAATCGTGAGCTTATATACCTCTGCTTAAAGCTGTGTATGGATCCTGCCTCTACTACATAGCTTCCCAAACTATTCCACTTCCTGACTACTCTGTGGCTGAAGAAATACTTCCTAACATCCCTGTGATTCATCTGTGTCTTCAACTTCCAACTGTGTCCTCTTGTTGCTGTGGCCCATCTCTGGAACATCCTGTCTTTGTCCACCTTGTCAATTCCTCTCAGTATTTTGAATGTCATTATCATGTCTTCCCTATCTCTCCTGTCCTCCAGTGTCATCAGATTGATTTCCCTTAACCTCTCCTCATAGGACATACCTCTTAGCTCTGGGACTAGTCTTGTTGCAAACCTTTGCACTTTCTCTAGTTTCTTCACGTGCTTGGCTAGGTGTGGGTTCCAAACTGGTGCCGCATACTCCAATATGGGCCTAACATACACGGTGTACAGGGTCCTGAATGATTCCTTATTAAGATGTCGGAATGCTGTTCTGAGGTTTGCTAGGCGCCCTATATACTGCAGCAGTTATTTGGTTGATGTGCGCTTCAGGAGATGTGCCTGGTGTTATACTCACCCCAAGATCTTTTTCCTTGAGTGAGGTTTGTAGTCTCTGACCCCCTAGACTGTATTCCGTCTGCGGTCTTCTTTGCCCTTCCCAATCTTCTGACTTTGCATTGGTGGGATTGAACTCCAGGAGCTAATTGCTGGACCAGGTCTGCAGCCAGTCCAGATCCCTTTGTAGTTCTGCCTGGTCTTCGATCGAATGATTCTTCTCATCAACTTCACGTCATCTGCAAACAGGGACACCTCGTGTGTGTGTACTCACCTAATTGTACTCACCTAATTGTGGTTACGGGGGTCGAGACTCAGCTCCTGGCCCCGCCTTTTCACTGATCGTACTGGTCCTCTCTTCTCTCTGCTTCGTGAGCTTTGTCTACCTCTTCTTTAAAACTAGTTTTTTTCCTGCCTCCACTACTTCACTTGCTGGCTATTCCATTTTGCTGACAACTCTATGAGAAGAAATACCCCCTAACCCCCCCTTGACTGCCCTGGTTTTCAGCTTCCGTTGTGACCCCTTGTCCCTGGTCCCCTCTCGGAAATCCTATCTCTGTCCCCCTTGTTTTTCCCGCAGTATCTTGTTTTCGTTATCATGTTCCCTGACCTTCTGTCCTCCAGTGTCGTCATCCGTTTCCTTAACCCTTTCCCTCGTACGACATTCCCTTGAGTTGGGATACCCTTTTTGCAAAACCTTTGTACTTTTCAAAACTCTTGACGTGCTTTACCAGGGTGGGTTCCAGATGGGCTGCATACTCCCAGTAGGGCCTAACATAACAGTGTCAGGTCTTAAACGTTCCTTATTAAGGTATGGAACGCTATTTCGGGTTTTCCCGGGCCCCCCGTATGCTGCGCGTTTTTGGTTGATGTGTGCCCCCGGGTGATGGCTCGGTGTTTGGTCACCCCAAGGTCTTTCTCCTGAGTGAGTCGTAGTTTTTGTCCACCAGCCTTCTCTGTCTGCGTCTTTTTTGGGCCCCCCCCCAATCTTCAAGACTTTGCTTTTGGTGGATTGAATTCGAGAACCCGGGTATGACCACATGCCCAGCCCTCCAGGTCTTTTGCAGTCCTCCCTCTCCTCGCCCATTTAATTTTCTCATAACTTCACGCCTGCGAAAGGGACATTTCAGAGTCTATTCCTTCCATCATGTCGTTCCTATATCAAAATAGCACTGGTCCTGAACTGACCCCGGGGGGCCCCCACTCGTAACAGGCGCCCCGTATCCCTTTCCCGTACCATGACTCGTTGCTGCCTCCAGTCAGGTTTTCCTTATCCATTGCAGTCCCCTCCTTTTACGTGTGCCTGATCCCCAGTTCTGCCTAATCTCTTGTGGGGAACTGTGTCAAAGGGCCTTCCTGCAGTCTGGGAAAAACGAAATTTACCCAACCCTCTTCTCGTGTCTTATTCTTTTACCTTGTCTAAAACCCAGGGGTTTGTGATAAAAAGATTTCCCTTTCCCATGAACCATGGGGTTTTCTTTTATAATCTTTTTCCTTTCCAGGTGTTCGACAACTCTCCCCCTGAAAATCTTCTCCATGATTTCCCAACAAACAGTCGGACACGGGTCGTAGTTTAGTCCCTGTTTCTTTTTCCCTTTCTTAAAATGGGGACTAATTAGCTGTTTTCCCTTTTCTCAGTATTTGCCCTTTTTCGGGGGATTGTTAAAGTTGTGGTTAGAGGCACACACGCATTTGCCCCCTTCTTAAGGACCCATGGGGATGTTGTCGGTCCATCCCCTTTGGGGTGTCAGGTCACTTAAGGCTTCTTCACCTCCTCCCAGTTGTTCGTATGTCATCCAAAACTTTTTGGAAATTTTCCCCTCTTGTTTTTCCCTTCTGTGCTGTTTTTCCAAGCCCTTTGTCTTCGTAAAAATTCCCTTTAAAAATCCCCTGTTCAGCTCCTCACATACCCCCTGATCATTTTTTGTGAGTTCCCCCCCCTTCTGCCCCCTTATCTGATCCCTGGTCTTTGATGTTTTCCCCTCCTGTGTGGCTAACAACAGTTTGGGGTTCAGTCTTGATTTCGTGCTAGTCATTTTCATACTGTCGCTGGGCCCCCCCTCCTTACCTGTGGACTCTTTCCCTGGCTCTGGATGCTCCCTATTTTCGTGTGTTCTTGCCTTCTGTATTTTTCCTTTCTCTATTGCACTTTGTTTTTGCCCCTTACCCCGTCGGGTAAACCGGGGGTTTTGTTCTTGTTTTCCCCTTTGTTACTGTTCCCCTTGGGGAAATGAATTTCACTGCCCCCTTGCATTTTGTTGCTAAATATTCCATCTTTCATTTACGGCTTTCCGCCATTCTCTGTCCCCCTGGACCTCCGCGGAAGTTCTTCAACCCCATTTCCCCCCTTTTATGTCAGGTTTTTTCCCTTCTACTCCCGTTTTCTCTCCATTTCAGCTCACTATGTATTCAAAGCACGAACCACGTGGTCGCTAGTCCTAGGGGGCTCTCATACTTGATGTCCCAATGTTTTAGCGCCCCGAGTGAACACAAGGTCCCAATTTGCTGGGGCATCCTCCCCTCCAAAATCGGGTTTCCTTAACATTTGGGGCATGAGGTTTTCCAGACCACGTCCAAAACCTGGGTCTCCAGTTTCGGGACCCCCCTGGGCTCCGGTTTTTCCCCGTCAATCTCCCCGTGGTTTAAATCCCCCCTAACCAGAAATTTGCTTGCTGGGGTGGCTCTTCTTGCCACCTCAGCAGTGTTCCACCATTGCTCTGTTTCTCTTTCAATTCCTTCTTGGGCCCCCTGCAGTTTGTGTGGATTATACATCACTGAAGACCACTTTGTGTTCCCCAGACTGAAAGTGTACCCGCTATGTAGTCCCTTTTTCCCCGTTCATTATTCCTTCCTTTTCTCGAATTTCATTGTTTTTTTCGAACAAACAACCCCACCTCCCCCCCCGCCCGTTCTATCTTTCCTCTGATTTGGGATCCCGGTGGGAAATTGCACTGTTTTTGTCTCCCTGGTTTTGTTTCTGTAAATGCTATGATGTTGGGGGGTTCTATTGATTCTTTTTGCCATTTCCTCAGTTTATTCGTTAATCCCTCTGCCCTTTTTGTACCCAAAACCCTTAATTCGTTCTAATACTATAACTGTGGTGTGGGGGGTGGAAAAAGAGGGATGGGGGGTTATGGTTGGTTTGGTTTTTTCAGTTGCCTTGGGGGGCGTGGCTGGAGTCCTTTTTGCAGGTGTTTCTGGGGGGTGCGCTTGTCCTTCCATTTATCCTGGGTTATTCTGCTCTCCTTTTTTATTTCCCCCCATTTCCCTTTTGTTTTTGAATCTCTCTTTCATTGTCTTCCTTTCGTCCTGTGTTCTGTGTCGGGCGGGTACACACCCCGGGAAATCCGCTTTCCTCTCAGCCCCTGCTTTTCCTGCAGGATCATGGTTTTGGGTTTTATTTTGCCCGAAAATTACTTGAGAGGCCGATTCCTTTTCTTTGTGAACCACCCAATTCTCCAAAATTTGCCCCGGGTCTGTCCCCCTCGCCCATCACCCTTTATGATGCTTCAATCGCTTTTTTTTTCCTCCTGCTTTCTTTCATCAAAGTTTCCCCTTTAACTTCGTCTAGCCCTAGAAAACACGGGTCTCTCCCTTTCCACCTCCCCCTGTGACTCCCCTTGCATCCCTGGTGTTTTAGTTCCTTCCTTCAGTCCCTTCCTAGTTATGGCCCCTACTTCTTGTTTATCCCTTCCGTACCGCTCCTGGCCCCCCAGGGTTTGGAAGGTCCTTTCACATGTCCTGTTCCTTCAATGTTTCCAACCTCTCTTTCGTCAGGTGCTCCCGTCTTGTTTTGGGCCCCCCTGTGGGTTGACGGACCTCTGCAACAGTTTAGTTTCCATGCTTCCTTTTTTACCTGTTTCTGTGTTCGATGTAACCATGCCCAGCTACTTTTGTTAAACTTTTTTTTCTGTGCTGTTTCAGTGACTCAGTTCCCCCCTTTAATCTCTCTATCTGATTTTGCTGCGTGGCCCCCCCGCTTCCACCTTCTGCTTTGCTGCTAAACCCCCTTTCCCTCTTCCCTTTCCCGCTCATCTAGTCTCTTCCCCCGCCCCCTCCCTTTTTTTGAGCTTACCTCCCCTTCCCCCCTCTCAATTCGTCCTTGGAGCCCTTTGTCCTATTGGTTAGGGGGGAGGAGAATAGATGGTTAGGAG